GCCGGGGAATGGTGCCCACAAAGGCCCCCCCGGCCGCCGGTGGGGGGGGGGGGGGCACCGAAGGGCCGCACCTGAAGGTGTGCGGTCAGCTCCCTGTATTTTTTGATGGTCTGCTGGTAGTCGGCCACGGTCTCCTGCGCAGCCTCCACACGCTTCTCTGCCTCGCGGACCCGCGCCGTCGCCATGTCCAGCTGCTCCCGTAACTCCAGCTCTGTCTCCCGGGCGTTTTCCTGCAGCTCGTCATTCATCTCGTTCATGGCTTCCTGGCAAGGAGGAGGCAGCACGGCACGCGGTTACGCCACAGCCGAGCAAGCAAGAGCAGTTGGGCATTTTCGGAGCAGGGCAGAGGGGCGCCTGTCCCGGTTTCGGCAGGGATCGAGTTAGTTTCCTTCCTAGTAGCTGGTACAGTGCTGTGTTTTGGATTTAGGACCAGAACAATGTTGATAACACAGCGATGTTGTAGTTGTTGCTGAGCAGTGCTTACACTAGTCAAGGACTTTTCAGCTTCCCGTGCTCTACCGACTGGGAAGGCTGGAGGGGCACAAGAAGCTGGGAGGGGGCACAGCCAAACTGGCCAAAGAACATTCCATACCACGGGACGTCATGCTCAGTACATAAACTGGGGGAAAGCTGGCTGGGGGGGGCTGCTGCTTGGGGACTGGCCGGGCATCGGTTGGCGGGTGGTGAGCAATTGCATTGTGCATCGCTTGCTTTGTACGTTCTTTTATTATTGTTGTCATTATTATCACTATTTTATTTTATTTCAATTATTAAACTGTTCTTATCTCAACCCACGAGTTTTCCCTCTTTTACACTTCCCATTCTCTCCCCCATGCCACCCAGCGAGCGGCTGTGTGGCGCTCAGTTGCCGACTGAGGTTAAACCACGACAGCACCCCGGGGTGCAAGGGGCATATTCTGCAGAGCAGAAGAGTGCACCGCTCGGAAGCGGCACCGAGTGCAATGCCTCTAGAGAGGTTCCCCAGCCCCCTCTGGCACCCCTGCCAGGCAGTTCCCGGTGCCTCGGGCAGCCTCACTGCCAGGCAGTCGGCTGGGCCAGCCCTCGCATCAGCCCAGCCGCACACCAGGCACGAAGGAAGTGGCGCAAGCCCTCCAGTACCGGCCCTCACTCCAGAGGAGTCCGTCTTACCAGGTCCCCAACAGTCTCACGCAGCTCCCGGACCTTCTCCTCCAGGTCTAAGTTTCTCTCCGTCAGAGTCTCCACCATCTCTTCAGCACCCAAAGCAGCATCCACCTGCAAGCACGCACCACATCACGCTCCAACCTGGAGCTCAACACACTGCAGCAAGCAGCTCAAAAATCCTTTTATACCACCGTGGGATCACCCTGGCAAACTGTGGGACGTGGCTGGTAAATCCATCTCCCTGTCCTGAGGTGAGGATTTGCCAGACAGTGCATAAGCTCCCTCCTGGTAGCAGAGAACAGCATGCCTCAGGAGAGCAAACAACTCAAACCAGAACAGCGCGCAGCCCCAGAAGGAAGGGCACGTGAAAAAAAGAGGCTTGGCTTTGGCTCTTAGAGATGTACTGGCTCTTTAGCTGCAGCATCAGGGCACAAGGTTGAGCAGTTCCAGGTCAGTGTAAACAATGCTGACCTTCAGGCTGAGTCTTCGCAGACTTGTGACAGTGCTTTCCAAGCTCTCTGTCCCCCCTGAGGACCTAGGGGAGTGGTTATACGCTTACAGCATCAATGGAGGAATAGGCATTTCAGTCCCTTTGCATTAAGAAGCATCACCTCTGCTAACAGCCCACCTTCTACGTAACTCAGGCTAATGCTCAGAGAGCGTGAGGCCAGCGTCCCTCCAGAACAGCAGTTCGGAGGAATTGCACAGGCTGCTCTGCAGTGAACGTAGATCCTTCCTGAGGGCTTCCTAAGGGCTGCCCCACACCTGCACCGACGTCTCAGTCTGGCCAGGAACAAGCCTCATGAAGATCACCCAGGCAGGAAGATGTGATGGCTCAGCACCGAGCAAGCAGCAAACACAGATCAGCCTTGGAAAGCACGACATATCATCCATGTCCTGTGTTCAAGAGCCACCCTGTGGCCAGCACAGTTCCACTGCTGGAACAGGGTTTGCTTTTGCACAGGGACCCAGAAGTATTAGTCCCTGCAGTGGTATCGCCGAGCGCGGCTCTCCAAGAGTGACTGACAGAAAGCGCTCTGTGCCAGGGGGTGGCCCAAGCTTGCCCGACAGCAGTTGCTCAATGCTCCAAACGGCCCCAAACTTCCCCTCCCTGCCCATCCTTCCCCCAGTGGACTCACCTGCTCCTTTAGCTCATCAACCGTTTTCTCCGCCTGCTTCACCTCCTCCTGAAGCTTCTCCCTCTGCTGACGCAGGGACTCCAGCTCCGTGTTTTTCTTCTCCATTTGCTTTTGAAGCTTCACGTGTTCCTGCTTCTCTGATGCAGACAAGTCCCGCATCCTTTGACAGAGCAACCAGACCCATCACAAGCCCAGCAGAGACCCAGGTACCAGAGCAAGAGAAGCCATCCGCTTCCCAGACACTGCTCTTGGGGGGCACCAGCAGAGTCAAGACCCCCCCTCCCCGGCCCATGCTGGTGCTGGCTGCCCATCGGCAGCGCGAGCAGAGCTCCTTTGGAGCCTCTGGCAGCCCCTCCCTGGGGGGGGACACGAGCAGCGTCCCCAGAGAACAGCTCATTAACAGCGAGGGGTGGGCGTGAATCGGTGCCCGAGGTGGCACCTTCCTTTGAAAGAATCAGAGCGATAGAGGATGGAGAGAACAGAAGAGGAGAACGTAGAAAAACAGACAACAGAGACAGGCAGGGAAGAACAGCTGTAAATGGGACAGGCTAAAGCACAGAAAGGAAGAACCCAGTAAGCAAAGAAAAATAAGTCACATTCACAGCCTTTCACAGCGTAAGAGAGAAGGTCAGCAGCACAAAGAGACAAAGCACAGACAAGGAAAGGTGCTTCGGCACGCGCTGAGAACAGAGCTTTGTGTATATTGAGGCCCCTGTGTGACCAGCTCTGCTAACAGCCCCAAAGGGGCTCTGCCCAGGGAGTGCAAGTGCTGGGAGGTTCTCTCGCTTGGACCTTCTTTATACCTCCCATCCCAACCATGCACTGGTTTGGGAGTCCTCGCAAGGCAGTTTCTTGTGTTTCCTATTAGTAGGGGATGCTTCCACCTCCTCTACCTGTTCCTGGCCTGCAGGAGTAATTGTCTTTAAGCACAGGCTGTTTTCTGCACCAAAGGCAACACAGCACCCTGCGCGCACTGAACCACAGCCACGGGGGAGGAGTGAGGTGGGACAGTGAGCAGTGGTGTGGCTACCAGAGGGACCCCACCTGAACCTCTAGGCTAAAGCACATGTGGTTTTCAGAAAGAAAAGCCCCAAAGCCCCGAGCCCTGGCAGACGGGCTTGCCCAGGGAAAGGCAGGAGCCAGGTCCCAGGGCTGAGCAGGCTCAAGAAACCTCGAGCAGGACCTGCGCAGGAGGCGTCTGGAGAACTGTCCTGTGCAGGCTGCTTGAATAAACCTGCAGCTGTGCTGGAGAAGCAGAGCACTGCATACACAGAGAAATGAAATACAGAAGCTGTCTCTGAAGCGGCTCATTTTCTCCTGATCTACATTGGTCTCCAGTGACAAGAGATTCTCCCTTCCCTGTTGCATGCTTAAAGGAGCACCAGAGCTCAGAAACAACCCAAGACCAGCTAGCACGTGTTACATCGGCTGCTCTGGAAAAGAAGTATTTGGATCAGTGCTCTGACACAAACTCTTATGAGACCAAGACAGCATGGGCTCTCGTAGGAAAGGACGTCATCGGCAGCCTTTGGGGAGCACAGGTGGTCTCCTACCTTACAAGAGCTTCCTTGAGTCTCGCATTTTGCTCTTCCAGCTGTTTGACTTGGTAACTCGATGCTGCTCCATCCGAGCCTGCGGTAGAAAGGAAGCATTATTCCGCTTGTGCAGAAATAGCAGCTGCTAAACAGATCCAGTTCTCTTAACACCAAGTGACATTGCAAACGCCAGTAAGAGGACAGCTACGTCATACCAAGGGGAAACGCATCAGTTCCTCTCCTGCAGCTGAGCAAAACCCAAGCCTGGTGCGTAACACTGGTGCTCGCAGGCTGAGAGATTCCCCCGATGCCACCAAAGCCAGTCAGTGCAGATGAAGAACCACCGTACCAACCCGCAGACCGTACCCGAGCAGCCGCTGGGCTACGGCAGAGCAACGCGTCGCTGGATACCGTGAGTGCTCTCAGCTCCCAGCCCTCCCGGCCCTCACAATTCAGTGAAAGCAACCTCAAATCAAAGACCTTGCTCATGGCAGTAATTTCCACATCTCCCTGCAGACCACTCCTGTCCTCCCAACGTTTTTCCCAGCCCCTCGACAGGTCTACCTTTCTGTCACATCCCTCAGCCTGCCTGCCTGATCATCTGCGGCTTCCGCAGGTTTGATTTTTTTCAGGTGAATGCCAATACTACAAGTGTTTAAAGGCTGGCTCGTTTCCTGCTGTGTGCAATTTTTAAAGCTCACCTTGAACAGCAAGAGCTAAGAGGCCCCAGGGGAATCAAAACAAGGGTAATGCACTGGTTTTGAAGCTGTGCGCAGAGCAAAGCTGGGAGCTTGGATCAGCAAGCAACAAAAGCAGCTGCGTGACCTCCCACATAAAGTCTGTCCCAGTCAAACACCTTTTGGAGTGGGATCCACTGTCCCCAGGGAAAATGACAAGCATTAAAACTAAGCCTGAGCTCCTCTAAGCCCAGGACAGGACGACTTGTCCCCAGACTCAAAAGTGCAGCAGCTCCATCTCTGCCTTCTCAGTGAGGCCGGGACCCAGGTGAAGACGAAGCTGAGCTGCTGCCTGCTGCTGACCTGCCCACGTGTGACGGTCGTACCTGCGCCTGCCGAGCAGGGCTGGGGACGCAGCGGAAAGCCCCAGCGGCTGCCGGGGGAAATCGCAGAGGCAAAGCCTCAGCCCTACCGCAACCAGCAGCGAGGAGCCACCACTGCTCCAAAGCAGCCAAGCGTTCTGCTCCCCAGCGAGGAGCTCCCCTGTGAAGTGGGACCCAGGCTGAGACCGCCCGAAAGCCGACCCCTTCCTACCCTTCTCTTCGATCTCGTGCTTCAGGATCTCCAGGTCCATCGTGAGATATTCCACCTTCTCTTTCAGGGAGTCCACCTCCTGCTGCAGGGACTCTGCTCGCTCTTCTGCCATCTCCTTGTCCAGGGTTGCCATTTCAATCGCATCAGCGGTGTCTGCCATCTCCTCCATGTAGCGCTCCTTGGCTTCCAAGGCATCTTTGGCTTCCTGCAGTCAAGCACACATGAGTGAGAAGACCCTGGAAGCCCAAGGCCAACGATAGAGACACCCCTCTCACAAAAAACGAGCCTCGGACAATTACGTCTCTCATGGTTCTCTCACAGGAGGATCAAGTCCAATTAGCAGCAGCTTATCTGAGCTGAGAGGGGAAGGCCCACTGCCAGTGCTCCAGGGTGCCCATCTCCACTCCCTGAGGCCTCTCCCCTGCTTCACACCTTCTCCCATCCACAAAAGAGCCCAGCAGAAAAACGATCTGCAGGTGAGGAGAGACAGGTACGAAGACAGAAAAGATGTAGGCTTGTACTGGAGCAGACAATCACGTAAATCACTGGGGAAACAAACCAAGAATCCACCCTGGAAAACCAGGGCAGAGAGAAGCAAAAGCTCTTTTGCCAGCAGGGCTGGAGTCCTGCCGTCTGCCTGGGAGCAGCAGGCACGGGTGCCAGGAGCAGGTAACCCGTCCTTGGGGAGGAGAAAAAAAAAGGAGGGAGAGCAGAAACCTGCAGCAGACACTTCAAATGACACCCAAAGGCAGGGCCCAGCAAGAGCAGAGCGGCCACAGGAGAAATGTTCTCGATAACGAGCGACACTAAGATTCATTAGCACCAAAGCCCTGTGGCTTTCGCTGGCAGTGACTCATACCAACCAGCCCTGCAGGGCAGGAACTCAAAATGCATTAGTTTAGCTAAAGGGAGATGAGTTTTAACAAATCAAAGTCTACATAAGAAAGTCAGGATCAGAACCCCCCCCAGGAAGCCACCGGAGAGAGGAACCCACTCCAGAGCAGGCCAGGAAAGACACAGCGCGTGGGGAAGGGAGCACCCATTTGCACCCCCGTCACCGGAGCAGGGAGGACTCGCACGCCCAGCACTCGCAGGGGCTGAGGTGGGCTGGGACCCCTGCAGATCGTCTGCTCCAACCCCTGCCCAAGCAGGGGCGGCTGAGCCAGCTGCCCAGGACCCGGTCCGGTCGTGTCTCACACATCCCCAGGGACGGAGACTCCAAACGTCCCTGAGCTACCTGCTCCAGTGTTTGATCACCTTCACAGGAAAAAGGCTTTTTCTTATGTTTAAACCGAATTTCCTGTATTTCGGTTCGTGCCCCTTTCTTCTTGCACTCTCAGTGGGCACCACGGAGAAAAGTCTTTACTTCCCCCATCGGGTGTTTATACACATCGGTGAGACCCCTCGCAACCCCCCTCAGCCTTGCCAGATACCCGTCACGACGCACTTAGCTCAGAGGAGGCTCCAGAGGACTGGCTCATCTAATCGCTGTTGGAGAACAGCTCCTGAGATGTTCCAGCTTGCTTCAGCCCAGTTCCCAAATAGACTCAATGCTGATTATCAACTCAGTCCAACAAAGCAAAAGCTTATATTAATGCTGTACTTAAAACGAAACCACATTGGGATGTAACTGCTTTAAGCCGTGAGTACTGTACAGGAACATACTGCTCAATTCCTGAGTATACTGCTCTTAACGTATCGCAGAAGCAAGCAAGAGGAAGGACAAGCTGCTGCTTCACAAATATTGGAGAGTCAAAGACAAGCGCAGGGCAAGAAAACTTCCACCGCGCAGGTGCGGCACTTTTAAAAAAAACGTTCAAGACGTCCAGGCATTGGGACAGCGGGAAAGTTTAGGCTGCACGATCAGCTTCGGGAGAGACGAACAGATCCCGCGGCACCACCAGTGAGCCTCTCCCTACAGGGCTGCTCTCCCAGCTGGATCGGAAACCTCAATACACGGCAATGCTCTTAAAGCTGCTGGGGTCCACTGATTTTTGAAGTCAGTTGCAAGATCTCCAGGAGCTTTACTTAAGCTTTTGAAGGTGGGACTGGCTGTTTATCAGCAGGTTTGGAATTTGAATGGTGGCCCTCCCACAGCACTGGCAGGCCCGCGACAGCAGATTAAACCGGAGAAACATGGCTGCTGCCACACTCGGACAGCCATCCTGCAAGTGGAGATGTGCGACTTGCTCCTCAACTATCGCCTTCTTCATCCCCATCTATTAAATGAAACCACCTCTAACGTCAGCTTGTCTTACCCTGCACAAGACTGAGAGTTGCACCGATAGAGGAATCGACTCATGGATAGATCAGACGTTCCTGCCCCAAAGGCCAGGCTGTCAGACAGATGGGGCAGGCAGGCAGCAAAAAGCAAAGCAAATCCTAGGACGCACAAAATCTCTGGTACCTTGGCAGGACTGCGCAAAGCCCGTCCAAAGGCTCTGTCTGCTCTGACATCTAGTGTGCTTAGAGAACGAAGCTGTGACTTCAGCTCCAGGACAAGCTGCATGTGCTACTGCCATGACGGTCCAGACCCACGCTCGCATGCTGCATTAAACATGCAGCGTAGCCTGACTGTATCTGGGATTTGCACTGGCAGCTCGATACCTAAATCAATATTTACATCGGAGAGAACAGCGATATGTGAGGCCAGAGGCCATTTTAGGACCTGGCGTGTATTCAGAAGACAGGAGTCAGGACAGCACACAGTTTAGTGCTAGCTGGTATTGCATAAAAAAACCCCACACACATTTTCAGCAATTTAATTAGCCCTGGAATCACGTCTCCCTGTGCAAGCCCCGGCACCAGAGCTGCCCAGCTCCCCAGGGATGCTCACCTTTTTGGCCTCCTTCAGACGTTTCTGGAGATCAGCCTGTTGTTCTTGCATTTTGCTCTTCCATTCTTGCACCTGCTCCAGCTGGATCTTGTACTTCTCGAGCTCTTTAAGCTTTGCTTTGTCCTCATTTCGCTTTATCTTCAGAGTCTCCAATTTCTCCTCCAGGTCCCTGACTTGAGAACGCAAATTCTCCTCCTCCTACAACATCAAACCAAGAATTACCAAAAGGAGCAGCGGCATCCTTTGGAGAGAGCTCCACATACATTAATTTAACCCACACAGAACCTGATCCATCAGCTAGCCTGTATTTTGGCATTGTTACTGGGGCAGTTTTAGAAGAACACATCACTCTACACTCGCAGCTACAGAGTCCGTCTGTCATTTTAATACAACGTACGATAAATGTTCCTTGACACACTGACAAAAAGCCTTTCGGCTGGCAAAAGGTCCCGAGCACCGTGCTTTTGACTTCACTGGGATCCATGGATGCCTAAATCCCTTAAAAACGAAACAAAAACAACCCCCACCACTAACAGGTCCAAATTCACCCCTCGGCAACTCTTCTCCTGCCTGTAGGGTCAGAGCAGAGCAACGGCATGCAAGAAACACGTTTTCATAAACAGAACCAGATCTTACAGAAAGGCTCTTTCAACACAACGTGCACGACGGTACAGACTTACAGCGGCCAGTGGTTTTAGTTATTAGCGTGTAGTTCAGAAACATGCTGACACACACACGTAGGCTGCATCTCAAACTGTGCATTCACACCACAACTTCACTGCGCTCCGGGTGAGCTGTTCCCCTTTCGTCCTCCCCCAATACCCACCCTACAGAGCACGGCAGACGTTTGTATGGGGGGGGAGGGTCTCCCCTACTCTCCCTACCCAGGGGGTCGGTGCGCGTTGTAACCCACGGTGTATCAGACCCGGTGCAGCTCTACGAGGGCGAGCCAGGCACAAGCCTAAAACCCGGGAATCCTCCTGCCTCGGCAGATCCAAGTCCTAAAATGCTCTCTGCTGTGCACCCCAGATCAGCTCGCACGGGCGGCCCAAGACCTCCGAGGCTTTTCTAGCCCATTTCCCGCACGGAGGCGGGTGCCTCGGACTGTTGCTGCAGCGCCGGTGGCTGACCAGCACCCCTCCGAATTCACCCCCTTCTGCTCTAAGCGCATTTGGGCCGCATTGGTTGGGCTTCACCATGAAACCGGCTTTACCCGGAGTGGAAGACACAGCTCGAGGAGGATACTAACGCCAGTACACAACGGTCCAGGAGTGGCTGGGCCCTGGCGTTATCTTGAGAGCAAAGCCAACGGCGGCTGAAATGAAAGCTGGCGCATGGGAAAGGGACACAGGGTTGAGATTTTCAACAAGATGCCAAAGCATCCCCACCCCCCCGGGGCTGTAAGGGTTCCCTTTCACAAGCCTCTTACGTTCCAAGGGGAAAGGCACACCTGACTCTCCTTAAAACACAGGCAGGGTGGGCACCGTGTTTCTAAATGCTGTGCTGTCACTGGAGAACTGCCCACGCAGGAAGGGAAACACCACTCAAGCAGCACAAAGGTGTCGCACAGCCACACGCGAGCTGTTACTGGAGAGTGAGTTAGGCCGAGGCAAAACCCTCAAGCTCCCCGTTACGGAGGTGACGGGGAGATTTCCACGTGCACGCTCATCAAACCAGAGCCTCGGGGCAGCGGTCACCTGGCCTTCGTGGAGACACTGAGACACTGCCGAGCTGTTCTGGAGACAGAGAATACCTTCAGTTACACCGGCCTGTCTTGAACACAAATCATACATCTGAAGTACACTCGTGTTTTACAGAACGGGAGAATAACTGAGGTTGGGAGAGGTGAGTGGAGGTCTCTGGTCCACCTCCCTGCTCAAGGCTGTGCTGAGTAGATCAGGGGCCTCATCCAGTCAAGCTCTGGCTGTCTCCAAGGACGAGGTCCCGCAGCCCCTCTAGACCCGTCCCGGTGTTTGACCACCCTCACCCTGAGAACTCTTCCCAGCCGAAACGTCCTGTGCTGCCACTCGCGCCTGTCGCCCCGTTCCCCGTCACCGCGTGCCTTTGAGGAAAGCCCAGTGTCCGTGCCGTTTAAAGAGAAAACCCCCGTTCCACCCGCGGTCCCATCTTTTCTTAATTCTGTAAATAAGCGTCGGTGCTGTACAACAGACCCCAGGCTGCCCCCGGTACCTGGACTTTACCGTCCCACTGCCCCTGGCTTGCAGCCCGCGCAGCTGCCGCGAGAGCCCTTGCGAAGAGCAGGGCAGCTGCCCGAAGCCAGGGCGACTCAGTCTTTAAGTGGCATAGTCCAGACAGCCCCCCCCCAAAGATGGCCCTGTGCTCTTCACCAGTGCCCGCCCGATCCCACAGCAGCGGCCACGTAATCCCCCAGTGAGCTCCCACCAGGGAAAACTGACCCTGTATTTGCCGGTTCTTTTTTGGCCAGATCAGCTCCCACGGCTAGAGAAAGGCTGATGCCAGCACAGCGGTACCTGGGCAAACGGCTGCGAGCAAGGGCAGGAGAAGGGGACGCGACCCCCCCCTCTTCTGGCAGTAGCACAGGGTTAAAGCAGCCTCATGACTAAAGCTTAAAAATCATGAAGCCGGGTGAAATTAAGGAACAGATTTTGAAAAAAATCCTACGCGATGTCAAGCAGCATAGGAAAACCACACAGATTTCTCCTCTGCCGCTTTCTCAACCCCGGACATACAGATGCCACCAATACTATCAAGCGAACAGTTTTTGCACCCGTTAGATAAACCGGTTACCAGAGTCCTCGTGGGCAGCTCGGGGGAGCGGGGACGTCCCTTCTTCCCACCAGGCGGTGGATTTTCCAGCCTTTTCCTCAACACACAACCTCAGAGCAAGCTCTTTGTCCCCTCATGCTATTAATTCTTTGCCCTCATGCCCTAAATCTTCCACGAGCTCTAATTGTAACTAATTAATACAAAGCAGGACGGAAGTAATGAAAAACTATTTTAAAGATCAAAAATGGAATGACTATGCTGATATAATTATTAGAAACACCCAAGTTTGGGGAAGAGTGGACCTCTCTAAGCGGTTTTTGCATCTGAAGGCAGGAGCGTTCCCAAAGTGCATCCACTGCTGGTCCCTCCGCTCCAGCCCATCCAACACCAGTGGCTGGAGGGGGCAGTGCTCAGGTCCTCCTCCGGAGCTCCTGAGCTCCTCCTCAGAGCTCAATGCAGTTGAGCTCTGCCCCCACCGGCAGGTTCAAGCTCCGACTCAGAGCCTCGACCCCCAGCATGTTCACCTGCCAAACTGCTCTGATGCCACGTGTATCCCACGGGGACCCGGGATAGCCTGGAGAAGAGGAGGCTGAGGGGAGACCTCATCGCTCTCTACAGCCCCCTGCAAGGAGGTTGTAGCGAGGTGGGGGTCGGTCTCTTCTCCCAAGGAACAAGCGATAGGACGAGAGGAAAGGGCCTCAAGTTGTGCCAGGGGAGGTTTAGATTGGACGTGAGGAAAACTGTCTTTACTGGAAGAGTGGTTAAACGTTGGGACAGGCTGCCCAGGGAAGTGGGGGAGGCCCCGTCCCTGGAAGTATTGAAAAGACGTGTGGATGAGGCGCGTAGGGACATGGTTTAGTGGGCATGGTGGTGTTGGGTCGACGGTTGGACTCGATGACCTTAGAGGTCTTTTCCAACCTTAATGATTCTATGATTCTATGAAGGCGGAACGTGCATCAGGAACCAAGTTAAGCTACGGCATTCTTCTCTTCGGAGGTGTCTTTCCAGCTTTGGTGTGTCGGCCTCTGCATTTGTCCCTGGCCAACTCCCCGCCAAGCCGTGCACGGTCCTCTCTGTCCCCCGGCCGCCTGGCTGCTCTGCTCCTCCCGCAGACCGTGGTGCCTAAACCCAGCACAGCCTTACGGGCGGTCACACAAGCCCTGCGCAGTGACCACCACCGGGACCCGTCAGAGGACCTCTAGCTCCCTTCTTCCTCGTCCTCCTCCTACCAGTACTGGTGGCGGGTTTTCTCTCCTCCTCCCCTTAGGAGCTACCACCCTCCACACCGGCAGAGCCCACAGCTTACCTTTGTGGGCGAGGGAACCGGAGGTGCCACTGGAGAGGTCAGGGAGGGAGTTGGAATAACCGGGGCCACCAGCGGCGTCTGAGCAGGCGTGCTGGGCTCGCTGCTGCTCATCTCCCCGCCGGAGGCAGAGGCTGAGCCCGAGGGCCCAGCCGTGCCGCTGGATGCTGCAGAATTGGGGGTCCGGGTGGGCTGCAAAACAACACGTCAAGAAAGGTCAGATGAGCATGTTTCAAGGGAGACAACGCTTCCACGACCGGTCCATCTCCCGACACCACTTCAGCCACTGTGTTTTCCTTTCACCAGGGTGTTTCTCCAGGCCAACCACTGTCTCCCAGACTCGCGTTTCCAGCACAGATGAAACCCAGAGTAAAATTCCAGAGGTGCTTTAGGCTCTCGCACAGGGTCGGTACTTACCCGCTGGGATAGGGACAGAGGGGAGCTGGGACTGACCACGGTCCAGCCTCAACAGGGGACCTTCCCTCGGGGGAGGGCTGAGTCAGGCACAACCCTCTGTTTTGGCAGAGAGCACGGTGACAGGGGGGACATCAACGGCAAAACAGCCCTGGCTGGAGGGAGCGCATCCGTGCCCTCGCCGTACCCAGACCTGCAGCGTGCCGAGGACCGGCACTACTGCAGAGACTCCCCGGCAGCATGAACGCTGTGGTCTTACGCTGCTCCGGGAGGACGCTGGCTTGGCCAAAATTAACAGATAATCAGTTGTTGAAGGGAAAGGTAAAATTTTATTACACCAGTGACATATTTAAAAAACCAAACTGGATCTTTTTCTGAGCACACAAGCCCTGCTTCAGGCCTGAGACAGGAGGAGTCCCTCTCCTCCCTCCTGCAGTAGCAGGGACGGTAAAAGATTGCCTCTCCCTACAAACCATGCCGATTTATTTCCTTGTGCCACCACATCTGCCTACGCTGCTGCTGCAGGTAGAGACCCATCTCCTTGCTCTTCACAGCAAGGCCAGCGCACACCCCGAGGTCCCGGGACATGAGGGCAGACCCTGCCTATCAAGTCAGCGTATCGGAGGGGATCAGAGCAGGGACTAACGCGGGTCCTCGGTAGTGTTTGCAGAGTGGAAACACGCTCCGAGGTTTTAGTGCTCCAGCTCCAGAGGATGAGACAGCAAAACCTCGAAGCACACCGAGACGGGAGCGGGGAAGGTTTCGCCCCTGTCCATCCTCCACATCTGGAAAAACAACGGGACACGTCTGCTGCTAAGCATTTGGAGGAGCCTGAGTCAGGTGCTGCTGTGCCCACGCACGTGTGCCAGTGCCACCGGCAGCTTGCTGGGGACACACCGCGGCAGGCGCCCGAGCCTGCACCCTCTGTCTGCAACTACACCAGCTGGGGGGACAAAGCACCGAATTTTAGGGGAACAGAAGGAAAAAATGAAAGAGTAGCAAGAGTTAACCAGAGTCCAGGGAAAAACCAGTGGAGCTTGGAGGAACCAGAGCAGCAGAGAGCTGCTTCATCAGTGCTTATGAGGCTGTTAATTGCTGGCTGGGAACCCGGCAGTGAGGCTGGCCATGTAACCCAGGTGACCAAGGGAAGCTGACGCCTGAAGGAAAGCACCAGGTCCCTCAGAAACCTCTGCTGTTGTCCTCACGGACCTGCATTTCTGGAGCACTCACCTCTGTGGCATCTAACGCTGTGTAAATTAATTTCCTGACTTTTTATTTTGCTCCTCAAGGTGGGCTTTTTGGTGCATTGCAGTTTCGCAAAGCGCATGGCTCACCCCAGGCTGGCCGGGGACATGCACGGACACGGCCAAGACGGGCGCAGCATCTACGCCCCTGCGCCCGCCTGCTAAAGCGGCAGCGGGACGTAGAAACCAGGCGCTCGCTTGCCATGCTGTAGCCGGATCTTCTGCCGACTCCTCGCTTGTTTTAGGCAAATCTGAGCTAACTCGACTGCAATAGCTAAAACGCCCCACGGACGGGCAGGCAGCTCAGCCTTCCCCTCCCAGGTGCGATCCCGGGCTCTCCCAGGGACGGCGTGAGCCCCTGCCTGGGAACAGTCTCCGTGGCACCCAGCCACACGCGCTATCTCCAAGAAACTACTCGAAAACAAGGACGTCGTTCTTGTTCCTGCTGCTTTAGGGATTAAAAACCCTTCACAGGGCGAGCCTTCAGCTTCTGTGGGGACAGAGCAGCATCGCCAGGGACACACCTGGTACGGCTCCACTGCTTATCGCATCCGAAGCGCTAGAAACCTTTGGAGACCTGCAACTTGGCCTTGGCAGGCAGGGTCAGGGAAGGTCCAAGGGACGTACTTTCTTCTAGAAAGGGCCAAAAATGCAGCATGGCATCCCCTAGAGCCCTCTGCACAGCTCCTGGACAACCTTCACTAACGGTTCCTATTGAAAATCCATTCCCAGGAACCCAGGAAGGTCCCAGCCGCCAGAGCAGGCGGCCCGCCAGCTGACCCCATCGGATGTGGACGCATCTGTGAGCCCGACCAGAATAGGATGCAACGGCTCGAGGGGGGCCCTCAACGCTGCAGAATGCCAGAGCAGCTGGTCAGTACTGGCAACAGCTCTGATCTCAACATGCATGCAGGGGTGTCTTCAACCCCATCTAATTCTTGCCCAGTGTAGAAGTGAGGCCAAAGGAGTAGGAGGAGGTCACGTAGGACATCCACTCACTGCTCCTCTCCAGCACAGGTTGCAGAGAACAAGAACATCGTTCAAACCGAGGGCAATGGTACGTGACCCACCAAGAGCTCTCCAGGACTTGCCCTGGTAAAGGGTAAGCTTCCAGCTGGGATTGGAAACTGGCTTAAAATCCATGCCAGCACGCAAAAGCTGCCTACCTTGAGCTCACTCCTCTGCCTCACCGCAAATGCATCCCATGGACTCACAGCAAAATCCTTGCTGTGCCTCAAGCGTTTGGGGAGGAGACATTTTAGAGGAAATTTTACCCCTACAGAAAGAGCGGTGGACTCTCCTCCTCACACTGCGCTCATATACTTCTGTCACTCTCTTTTCTTCCCCATGAGGTCCTACCTCAGCCTGGGCTCTGGCCCTACAGTGCCAAAATGACAGTTAACAAGATGTTTTTCAGAGGGGAAAGCTAGATGCCTGGCAGCTGGGATCCCAGCTGGCCTGGGACTGAATGAATCCGTCGCTGCTCTGGTTTGAGTTTCTTGTACAAGCCAGTGAAAATAAAGCCCTCCCTGCAGTGTACCCCCTGCACACAAGAGAAAAAAAAATTGTTCACCATTCACAAACCATAACTTGGCTATTATAGAGGTCTTTGAGGATTTATCTCCCCTGTTTGCTCTCCTCCAACCACGTGCCCCTTTGCAAGGCAAGTCCTGCTGGCTAGGGGCAGACCTCAAAACATGAGCGATTCTCTGTGCTGGAATCAATACTGTCCTGGATGACACCTCTTGGCTCTTACCTCTCTCCTCCAACAGACGCCCTCAAGATCCCGCTGAAAAGTACCCCACGTTAGCTAGGAAAATGGCAGTCAGTGAGAAGCAAGTTAACGTTAACAGGGACACCAAGCAGCGTGCTTTGCCAGCCAGCCAGACTGGGCATTACTGCACCGCTTTTATGCTCCGCGCCGTCAGATGAGCTCCGGCTAAGAGCACAAAGCTTTTCTATAGACATTTTGCCCAGGTAGGTTCTCCCCAGCGATTTAGACACACTCCAGAGGAGCACATCGCTCCCGTGAGCTCCTCCAGGCTCTTCACGACCAGATGGAAGGACAAGAGAAAACGCACGCTGGGGTTAGCGCTCATCGAGTTCATATTTAACACAGAGGGGACGCTCAGTGCCCCCTGACCGCAGCTGCTCACCTTGGGCCGCCGGGCGGTGGTCTGGAGGGCAACGGGAGTGGAAGGCAGAGGAGGAGAGACATTCATACAGGGACAGACAGGAGCAGAGATACAGACCGCAGCAGCACAGCAGCAGATGCAGCAGAGAACAAGGTAAAGGAAACAAAAGATATCACGGCAATTAGTGTGCATGGCATCAGGTGTACAAGCTCATTAACCCGCGCTCCCCGGGCAGCTCCAGGTGGAACCCTGCTAGCAGAGCTCCTGCGGAAACAGAGGAACAGAGCCCGGCGGCAGCTCAGCCTCCCGGTCGGGTTCTCTCGCCTAGACCAGAGATCGCTCATCGTGCTCCAGCCCCGCTCCTCCCCCTTTAGCAAGGTGCAGGACCACGGAGCCAGGGAGAAGGCCGACTGCCTCAATCCCGAACCTGGAGCCACCCCCAGACTCCAGCAGACACCCTGGGGGCAGATGCACCATTTACGTCTGAGAGACCTTTAGCTTCAAAGGCAAAATCTGGGCTGCCCGGAGTCAGCCTGGAAACGCGCAGCCACCTCGCTGCAGAGCTGCTCAGGGTTCAGCCGGTTCTGCTGACAAGGAGTGGGTTTAACTCAACGCACCTTCCCGAGAGGTCACTGGAGTGTGAGGTTGAGGCGGTTTTATTTTAAAGAAATTCCCCCCCCCCCCCCCCCCCCCCCGAAAACATGGCTTCATACATAGCTCCCCTTTGTTTTTTGGAGGGACGAGAGCAACACCAAACCAGCTGCCCACAGAGATGCTGGAGCCCCCGGGCTCTATTTCTCTTTAGTCATAAAACTCGCAGGGACAACATGGAGCTTCTTCTCAAACACTTCCACGTTTTCTTTTCATTTCTGGAAATAAAGGCATCCATGTCACCTTCAAGGCAGGACTCCCCCCAGCCCCCGAGCACACCCACCGTTTGCACATGCAGCACAGCAGTAACACAACCATCACCAAGTCGGTGCTCCCACGTCGAAAGGTGGGGCGGCCGCACCGCGTATCTCAGCACGTCCTTGCTGTGCACTTAAGACCTCAGCAGGACAATCTTCCCGTTAAGAAATACTCCACCCAAAACCGATACAACCACAGGTAACAGCGAAGCTGGCAGCACTCTTCTGCCAGCCGGCAGCGGGGGAAGCTGGACGGGCAGCGCCCTGGGTGCGGGCAGGGAGCCCCCGGGCGCTGGAAGCTATCGGACCGGGCAGAGGGAACCGCTGGCAGGGCCATCTGCTCCCCCGCTGCAGCTTTAAAACACTGGAGCACGTTTTAAAGCTTTTCACGTTCTGCTTCATTTTTTATTCTATTACCTAATCCACAGCTTAAAGTAACCGAGAACAGAAAAAGATCAATAAAAACGCTGCCATATGACACTCCCCGAGGA